GAGTCTCTGTGGCACCAGAGATCTATCAGCGCAAGCAACATTAATTGCTATCAGGCCTGGCTGGCATCGAGCCTATTGCTGATGACATCCTGGTGGTCGGGTTTGTACGCAGAGGCTGAAGAGAACCACAACACCAACTTAAGAGCTCTCATGCAACGGTGAAGGGCTGTGAAGCTCAGATTGAGTGAACACAAGCTGCAGTTCAAGCTCAAAGCTGTAGATTTCCACGGCCATGTACTGTCTTCAGAAGGACTGAAAATGTACCCAGAGAAAACTCAAGCAGTGTTGGAAAGGCCGACGCCCACGTATGCTAAGGCAGTGCAACGCATGATCGGGTTTGTGACATATCTGGATAAGTTCCTACCAAGGCTATCGGAGATCTGTGAGCCTCTTCGCAGACTCCTGGATAAGGACACGGCATGGCACTGGCTGCCAAAACACGATGATGCAATACGCGAGATAAAGCGGATGGTCACCAACACGCCGGTTCTCAAATATTATGACATTACAAACAATCCAGAGTGATGCCAGCATGAATGGACTGGGGTGCTGCTTGCTGCAAAAGGGGCAGCCCATAGCCTTTGCCTCACGCGCAGACACAGACTGAGCAAAACTACGCTCAAATAGAGAAAGAGTGCTTAAGCATAGTTTTTGCATGCCAGAGATTTCACCAGTACCTATACTATACGGCAGGGACACAATCACTGCAGAAACAGACCACAAACCACTGATGAAGATACTCAAAGACAAGTTTTCCTGACAAAAAGTGAAACAAATCAATGAATCATGGAGTCATGCTGGCTCAGCTATCAAGCTTCAGGTTTGTAAGATTTAGAGGAGTTTTTAAAGTTAAGAGAGGGAAAACCTGATCTAAGTATGTTTTTATATCTTAGATTTCTCTCTCTTCAGTTCCCAGTTAATATTGCAGGAGAACATGATGTCATTTCTTTGTAAAACCTCGACCAGTTATTTCCAATGTAAGACCATGTTCTTCTCAGAAAACGTAGGAATAAAGCAGATTTAATTCATAACAATCACGTAGAATTTTTTTTAACTTTCAGACCTAAAGGAACGATTAGCTTCACTTGAAAATGCAGCAACCAGTAACTCTCTCAAGCTCTCAATGTACATTTGGGCATGTCAACATGAATGTGATAAACGCATGTACAGTAATATGGTAAAAGTCTGATCCCATCATTTAATCATGAGAGATTACTGGAAATGTAGTGAACTGTTCTGGGTTCGGATTTTGCAACAACAATTCATCAAACTTTTTGGTTCAGCTTTTATAAAGAAAGTAAAGACCCTGTGTGTAGAAATGTTACGTGATAATGCTGTTACTTAGAATGTTCTGATATTGTGTTGAGAGAAAACTTCAGGGTCAATAAGCTGTATTTATGGACTTCTGTCTTTATGGATGTTACCACAACATTTTCAAATCTACCATAGGAGTTTAACTTCCCCTTTTTTTACTACCGAAAGCTGAGGCTCCTTTTTATATAAATATTTGTTGGCATGGCAACCGAATAGAAATGCAACATCTGACCTCACTGCCAATTATACAAGATACAGTACAGTGGAGATGCTGCTACTATTATGATAATGACTTCTGTATCTATGTTGTGAATCACATTTATATTTAAGTCTTCAACATGTGTTTCTGAAACACGGTGTCTGTTCATTTCTATAGTTCTGGTGTTTCAGGGATAACTACACACTTTTTTGGGACTCTTTAAGTCTATAATGCGCCTTTTTTGTGGGGTTTTTTAAACAGGAGAAACACAGGAATTATGTCAGACTGTTGTTAAATGTTCCTGGGTGTCAAATAATTTGTTGTCTTTCTTTAAATCCAGTTAAGACAATGTTGACCGATGCACTTTAACCTGACTCCTTCATGTCAGGTTTTCTGTATTTCATGTCACTTCTTGATGTATTACTGTGTAATGTTTCTGTGTGTCTGTATTCATCAGTGGTTTCTTCTGTCGTCTTGTATTTGTATATGTTCACTGTATGTATTTTATATGGTGCTGGTTTCTTACAGAACAAATACTTTATTAGACGTATTGGATTGTGAAACTGAACGACACTTTTATTTCCTCATCCCTTCACACGTTTTTTTATCTCTAACATTGACGACACATTTACACAAATAATAAGTCAACAATTTCACAAAAGGTGACAAATGCTAATTTATTCTGAGTCACCACTGGGCGGGACAGAGAGCTGAAGCACGAGTTAAACAAATACATTATGATATTTTTCTTTATTTTCTAAACTCTACCTATTGGATTTGAGTATTGCAAGAAATATTACAGTATAACGAGTACTTTGTTTTTAACCTTTTCTCATGAAAATACTGTGTTGAAAGCACTTGTGCTGGTAAAAGATGTATGTTTACATTAAGGAATTGCTGCTTATTACAGTAAAGTACTTTGTAAACAATTTGAAAAGCCATTTGTTTACTTTTGGATGGGTAGAAAAGACAATTAAGGTGATAATAAATTAAAATATAAGAGGCCAATTCTGCAAACCACAAGGCTTTAAAAATTGAATTTGATATATACAAATAGCTCAATACAAATGTGTGTTCATTTCTCTTATTGAAAGATTTTCACTCCTGGTAGTTTTTAGTGCTGATTAATAAACATTGGCTCTCAGTAAAATAATCTTAAAGCCTTGATGAGTTTACTCTGGGTGTGCATGTTGTATTTAATGTCCTATTCTGCTCTTACTGTAACGGAAACCATTAAGAGGCATGTTTAATAAATCTCATTACAATACATTTCTTCAAAGAAAGATTCCTGACTCCTTAACAGAAAAATAGGTTAAAAGTCAATGAACAGAAAAGTAGCAAAGGAACAGGATTAACATGTACGGTACTGTGTTTGAGTGGTGGGCTGGTGGCTGTGTTTAACTAAGGAGGTGCTGATACAACCATATCTTTACTTCTCTTATCGTATGAGTCTTATCTAAAGAACGTTTCTAATTTCAAGGCAAGGTAGTTTTTTAGTAGTACAGAGAAAACGAGAGACTTCCCAGCGGGGAACGTTCTCACAACATTACCTACAGGTTCTCATAATGTTTTAAAGAAACGTTTTAATCTGATGTCAAAAGAACCTTTTTAGGATGTTTATTATTTCAAATAATTTTCCTATAAGGTTAACTAAGACATAACGTTTTAACTGCAACATTCAGAGGATGNAGCACGGAAACAGCTCTTCTGAAAATCACAAACGACCTCCTCCTCTCCTCTGACTCCGGCAACCTGAACATCCTCATCCTCCTCGACCTCACCGCAGCATTCGAATGCTGCGGTGAGGTCGAGGAGGATGAGGATGTTCAGGTTGCCGGAGTCAGAGGAGAGGAGGAGGTCGTTTGTGATTTTCAGAAGAGCTGTTTCCGTGCTCTGTTTTGATCGGAAACCGGATTGAAAGGGCTCAAAGAGGTCATTGGAGCTGAGGTGAGATTTTAGTTGTGAGGCAATGACACGTTCAAGTATTTTTGACAGAAAGGGGAGATTTGAGATGGGCCGGAAGTTGGACATGATGTCAGGTGCGAGTCCAGGTCTTTTGAGAATGGGTGTGACAGCAGCCAGTTTGAGAGAGGGGGGAACTGATCCAGATCTGAGGGAGGAGTTAATGATGATGGCGATGAGCTGGGACATGGCAGGGAGGCTCTCTTTAACACATTTGGAGGGCATTGGGTCAAGTGTGCAGGTGGAGTTAAGTCCAGTCATGAAGTGGGACAGTTGCATGGGGGTCACAGGGGAGAAGTGGGACAGGGGCTGTGAGGTGAAGGAGGGGAGCCAGGAGGGGAGGTGGGGGGTGCTGATGAGGGTGTCAGATTGCTGTAAATGTTGGTTATATCAATATGTTGTATCAACACCTCCTTAGTTAAACACAGCCACCACTCAAACACATTACACGTTGATCCTGTTCCTTTGCTACTTTTCTGTTCATTGACTTGTTAACCATGTTGGTGTTAAGGAGTCAGGAATTCTTCTTTGAAGAAATGTATTGTAATGAGATTTATTAAACATGCCTCTTAATGGTTTCCGTTACAGTAACGGAACTCATCAAGGCTTTAAGATTATTTTACTGAGAGCCAATTATTATTAATCAGCACTAAAAACGATTTCAAAAGAAAAACTAAAAACGTTTTCAGGGAGTGAAAATCCTTTACATTTTTAATGTCACTATACATTTGTAATTCAACATGTATATGTATTCTACTTTTTTGTATTTCTATTTTATTGCTATTGAGATGTTGACATTTTTAAATGTTTATTTTAATTGTTTTGTACAATGCCATGTCTTTTTATGCTGCTGCAACACAAACATTTCCCAACTGGGGATCAATAAAGTACTTCTTATCTTATCTTAATAAGAGAAATGAACTCACTAGTTTTTATTGAGCTATTTGTAGATTTTTATTTTGTTTACTGTAAGTCAAAATGGGCCTCATACATTTGAATGTATTTTCTCCTTATTAGTATTTATACCCATCCTAATTTAAAAAGGGCTTTTCAAAAATGTTTACAAAGTACTTTACTGTAATAAGCAGCAATTCCTTGATGTAAAAATACATTTGTTTACCAGTGCTTTTAATACTGTAGTTTTATCGGAAAATGTAAAAAAAAAGTACTTGTTATACTGTAATATTTCTTGCAACACTCAAATCCAACAGATAGAGAGTTTAGAAAAAAATACACACACAATGTATTTGTTTAACTCGTGCTTCAGCTCTCTGTCCCGCCCAGTGGTGACTGTCACCCACAGCACCCCTAATGAATCTCTTCGATGTTTAAATATCCAAAATCCAGTCTTTTTTATTTGTTTATTTTTTCTTCCGAGATAAATTAGCATCGGTCCTTTGTTTGTGAAATTGTTGACTTATTATTAAACGGTTTGTGTAAATGTGTCATCAGATAAAAAAAACGTCTTGTCAGTCGTGTGAAGGAATGAGGAAATAAAAGTGTTGTTCAGTTTCACAATCATCAATAAGTGTAATAATTTATTTGTTCTGTAAGAAACCAGCACCATAGAAAATATTTACCCATATAAAATACATACAGTGAACATATACGAATACGAGACGACAGAAGACACCGCTGATGAATACAGACACACAGTAATACATCAAGAAGTGACATGAAATACAGCAAACCTGACATGAAGGAGTCAGGTTAAAGTGCATCGGTCAACATTGTCTTAACTGGATTTAAAGAAAGACAACAAATTATTTGACACCCAGGAACATTTAACAACAGTTTGACATAATTCCTGTGTTTCTCCTTGTGGTTAAAAACCACCACAAAAAGGCACATTATAGACTTAAAGAGTCCCAAAAAAGTTATCCCTGAAACACCAGAAGTATAGAAATGAACAGACACCGTGTTTCAGAAACAAATATAAATGTGATTCACAACATAGATACAGAAGTCATTATCACAATAGTAGCAGCATCTCCACTGTACTGTATCTCACATAATTGGCAGCGAGGTCAGATGTTGCATTTCTATTCGGATGCCATGGCAACAAATATTTTTATAAAACGAGCATCAGCTTTAGGTAGTAAAAAAGAAGAAGAGGAAGTTATAACTCCTACTGTAGATTTGAAAATGTAGTGGTAACATCCATAAATGCAGCTTTTTGGCCCTGAAGTTCTATCTCAACACAATATCAGAAAATTCAAAAGTAAAGTGGTCATAATCACGTAACATTTCTACACACAGGGTCTTCACTTTCTTTACAGAAGCTAAACCCAAACGTTTGATGAATCGGTGTTTAAGTGAACCCAGAACAGTTCACTACATTTCCAGTGATTAAATGATGGGATCAGACTTTAGTCCCAGTCGACCTTAACACTGTACATGCGTTTATCACATTCATGTTGACATGCCCAAATGTACTTTGATACAAGCTGCACGTTCAGCTGAAGCTAATGTTGGCTTTCCTTTAGGACGTTTACAACATGTGTACGTGATTGTTATGAATTAAAATCTGCTTTATTCCTACGTTTTCTGAGAAGAACATGGTCTTACATTGGAAATAACTGGTAGAGGTTTTACAAACAAATGACATCATGTTCTCCTGCAATATTAACGGGGAACTGGAGAGAGAGAAATCCAAGATATAAAAACATACTTAGATAAAACTCTAAACCTTACAAACCTGAAGCTTGATATCTGAGCCAGCGTGACTCCATGACTCATTGATGTTTCACTTTTTGGCAGGAAAACTTGTCTTTGGCGATTTAAATTCATTTTAAAAATTGGACTTTCCCAAACTGAACCTTTAAACCACTTGATCCCATGACTGAAACCTTTGTTACACTATTATCTAGTCTTCTGGAACTTCACTTTTTTCTTTAGATGTCATGATATTTTATGTGAGTCTCCTGAAATGTGAAGAAAAGACAAGATGGCTGCAAATCAGAAACTATACATTTTTAACATTTCAAGACTTAAGTCCAACAGGAACTCATTTAGCATTTTCCCATTCTCATACTAAACTAATATTTTGGCACAAGTGGTTTTATTTGATAATGTGCGTATTAATATAAAGAAACGCCACAGGTAAACTATTTAGATATTGAGGCCGTCCTCCAGCATCGCTTTGGATCGAGGTCTGGACCCTCTGTGCCCTCTCCTCTCTCCCTCCTCTCTCCTCGTTCCCTCCCCCTCCTCCTCACCTCCTGCTCTCTCAAACCTCCTCACTCGTGTCTCATCGTGAGGAGTCTCCTTCCCTCCACTCCTCTCCTCCCTCCTCGACGCCCCTTCCTGACTTCTACGAGACTCCTTCCTCACGTTTCCATGTTCCTCCCTTCCCGTCCCTCTCTCAGACTCGCCTCCTTCTCTCCCTTTCGCCGCCTCAGCCCTCCAGTCCTTCCCTCCTCTCTCCTTCTCCCTCCAGCTCCCCGACCTCTCGCTCTGTTTCCTCTCCTTATCGATATCTAAAGTTTCGTGTTTGCTCCCTCTCTCGCTCCGGTGGGATCGATCTTTCTCGCCCCTCCCACTCTCCCCCGTCTCTCTGCCGCTCCTCTTACTCTCTCTCTCCGGGTTTACCCTCTCACCTGATCTGCCCTTCATCTCCTCCTGTTCTTTCCCAGCTGTATTTTTCTCCTCAGTCTTTTTATTCACACTTTTGTCCTCTCTGGTCTGATCTCGCTTGCTCTCAGGCTTTTCTCTACCGGCTGTGATTCGGTTCTCCGTTTCTTTGTCTTTCTTCTTCCCTTTCTGTGGCTGTTCTTTCAAAACCTCCTCTCTAGTCGCTTTGACGCTCTCCACTTTCTGCTCCTTTGCCTCAGCAGAAATCTTCCCCATCTTCTTTTCTCCGTCACCTTTTCCCTTCGTGCTCTCCTTCTCCGTCACGGCATCCCTTTTTCTCATTTCCTCCTCTATTTCCTCTTTGTTCTTAAGTCCCTCTCCTTTTCCGCTCACACTCTTCTCCTCCTTTTTCTCCTTGTTCACACTTTCCTTCTCCACCTCTTTAATCTTCTTCTGCTCCTCCACCTTCTTGTCCATCTTCTCCTCCATGAGGTCCAGCTCCTGCTCCAGCTCCGCCAGCTTCTTGGGATCAGACTCGAAATCGTCGTCCACCTCTTCCTCCACCTCCACGATCTCCTCGAACTCCTCCACCTCGATGCCGTCCATGGTTTTCTGCAGCTGCGTCTTCACCTTGTTCAGATCCAGGAGGCCATCTTGTAGTTCTTTGCACACGTCCCTGATTTTGGTGGCAAATTTAGTTTTGGCGCCCTTGCGGAGCTCGTGAGAGTCTTTGGCGAGGAAGAAGACGTCCAGAGCGAGGAAGAGACCCGACATGACGCCCGTGGTGACGCTGATGGCCTGCGCAGCTTTAGCGGCTCCGCCTGCCACGCCCAGAACCTGCACGGTGCTGATGAGTTTATCCGTGTTGATCATCAGAGCCTTCCCCGCGCGGCCGCCCTCCTTCATCACGTGCTTCAGGTTGTGGTTCATCGCCTTCTTCGCAGCGCTCTGGGAGTATTTCTCAAAGTCCCACTCCTGCAGGGTGGCCATACCGGCCTACGAAGGAACACAGACAAGAAAGGAAAGTGAGAACCGTGTCAGAAAATATATTATTCAAAAAATAAATGTTAACCTGTTAAGCCCCGAGCCTGTTTTCCAGGTCTCAGGCTCGAAAATGACATTCCCAGAACAAATGACTACATCTTCACTTCTAAAAGGGGTAAATTAATAATGTTGTTTCTTAAAGCAAGGATAAACCTGTGAGTTGGACGTAGAAGAATCAGAATCGATATAGATTTTTTTAATTTTAAAGTAAATTCAGATTGAACATAGTGAACTGTAAAGGATAGTGTCCGTCCAAAAATAAAACATTACTTATAGTGAAAAGCACCCTTGAACGCTGATGGATTATCAGTAATCATCTCAAAGTGACACAGACACATTGGATTAACCATCAGCAGCGTTTTTATCGTTTTAATGCCATTGAACACAACTTTTGATCAGAATAACAGCAAAGGTAAGAAATGTGCCGTTGCTGCTACCTAAAGCTACGTTGTGTGATGTCTGGGTTCGCTTCCCATACCGCGAGTTTTGATCGCTCAGTCATGATACTTATACATCTAGAATCTGTGGAATCTCAGCTTGCTAGCTGATATCTTGTTTGTGCAGATCCGATAAGTAATAAAGTGTGTTAGCATTTTTTCGCTCAGGGCTCATTTAGACACTTCTTGTGAGACTTGTGTTTTGTTTCGGTAAAAATGGTTAGCTGAGTTTCTTCCCGTTAGGTGGGTAAGACACATTCATAGTTTATTAAATGTTAAGAAGCCCAGACGCTGTTTCTTGCAAGATGTTGCCGTTGCCTGGGGCTTAACAGGTTTTAAGGGACACTACGAAGGTTGAAGTTCTTTCTGTGATTTTTAAGAGCTATTGCTCACTGGCATCACACAGCTTTTTTCTTAGAATTCAGCATAAATACATTCAAAAAAACAAAACTAGGGTTAAAGTTACTCTCATTTCAAATATCTGGTGTTATTCTTTTATATTTGTTAGATTATGCTGTAATGTTTTGGAAAACAACAATGTCGTCAATAATATCACATTTTAACATGGAAGAAAGACTCACAGGTAAACGGCTGATTCCTAATATATTACTTAAACAAAGGAACATTTGGTTGGATTAAATCTATAATCGTAATGTGAAAGAGTTAATGATGTACTAAAAAACTACAGGATGACAAAAGTATTTATCCTGAATGAAAGAACCAGATTTTGGCATGAATTTCTGGGAAAAATAGTGCATGTGATCCAGAGAAAACATCCTTAGACAAAACAACGTACAGTGTGTGTCTCTTCTCTCATATGTAGTGTTGGCAACGGCTAATAATCTTATACCAACAACACTTTATTTGGTTAATAACCTTTTCAGTATGTTACACAAAGGCACCATCACTCACATTTTAATCTTTAAGTTAATTTATTTCCATAACTATTGTAATGTGAAATGAATGTACCGGCTAACTAAACTATCCTCATGTGTAGTTCATTAACAAAGCTAACACACACCTGTTGGTATAACGTTCCTTAAACTCTTCTCATGTTGAACTCAAAAGCACTTAAAGTCATTTTTTAGGCTTTAATAGATGTTGATGCTTGGGTGTTACAAATAGTGACAAGTGTTTAGATTTTTTACATAAAGACATAAACATTAAAGAGATATTGACATATTTTATTCCATTTCTATGTAAATACAGCTTTATTTTTTATAATTCTTTTATGTTATTATAGTTTTCTGAAATAGTTCTGTATCTGTGTTTTACATTTTTGTTTTACTTTTATGTATGCACCACGACATCAAGTCAAATTCCTCGTACGTGTCAACCTACCTGGTAATAAACCTGATTCTGATGACAGTGCTATGACCCTTGCTGCTCTACATGTATTCTCTGACAACCAGAGAAGAAGAGAGACAAGAGGAACGTTTCTTTAAAGACTTACAAACCACTGAATCTCAAACATGTCCTCACCTGCACAAACTCCATGCACTCCCTGATGTCCTTTATCTCCTCCTGGTATCCCTGGATCATTTTCTCCAGATTCTTCCGGTCCATGTTGGAGTGAACTGTGTCCGTGATGTTGGCTGTTGCCGAGGTGATGCTGCCGGCCGTCGCCACGGCGATCCCCACCGCCGTCACGATAATAGAGGCGCCCATAGTGAAAGGAGCCAGGATGAGGCCAGTGATCGTTGCGATGCTGCCCGCCACACTGGCCACGCCCCCCCCCACCGCAGCCTGCACCGTCTTCTTGTGGAATTCATCCGCAGCGTCGGCCAGAGCCATCAGCTCCAGGATTCGATGCTGTAAGGACGCCCCTCGCTTGTTGAAAAGACGCACGAACAGACGGGCGGCCATGTAGACTCGATCAGCCGCCTGCTCCATCATCCTGCACAGAGACATGAGGGAGGCTTGAAACTAAAGGTATGCTGCACCAGGTGAAGGTACATTTAGACGCTTGTATGTCTAAGACAGGGGGGGGGTGTCCAAACCTTTTTCACCGAGGGCCACATACAGAAAGATACACGAAGGGCTGGGCCGCTCACTAGAGGCGGGGTCTATTGCCTCGTAAGTTAAGTTATAAATTAGCACAATAGCTAAATTAGGCTTGATACATGAATAGGCTTTAAGAACAGCCTCACAGCTCTCCAGAGGGTTTCATTTATCTTGTTGGCAACTCATCCCTTAAAACAGGAGCCTCAGAGTGATTATAATAAGGGGAGATATGAAGGGTCTATTTCAAACTCATGTTAAAAAGTTAATGGGCTTTTTCTTATCAACTAAGGTTTGTTAGAAAATGTTTCGGGACGGGAGCACGTTGATACTGTACGACCTTCCTAGCTGGAGATATGGCCGCATTTTACAATAAACTTCCGTTGGGTCGCTTAAAAACAAATATCACAAATCGAATCGCAATATCTGTCAGAAAAATCGCAATTAGATTATTTCCCCAAATCGAGCAGCCCTACTTCCATTATACTTTTTGAATTTGCTGAGGGCCGATTCAAAATGGTCCGCGGGTCGCATTTGGCCCCCGGACCGCAGTTTTGGACACCCCTGAACTAAAAGTATGGTGCACTCGTTACATTTAGAAGCTTTTGTGTCTAAGAAATAGCATTTTCCTATGTGAAGGTGTCCAAAGGGAAATGTGCAGGTGGTCAAAGATAAATATGTACTACACCAAACTTTGACAAATATTGGACAATAATGATTCATTCAACCCTACTTCTAAAGAAAGCCCTTTATTAACAATTTCACAATCCTACCAGCTAAAGTAATTAAAGTAAGCTCCAGAGCACCAAGTCAAATTCCTCGTACGTACCTGGCAATAAACCTGATTCTGTAAAGCAGCTGGTCAATGTCACCTAGAATGATTCATTATCATTCCCTTTCTTTTAACCCAGCAGAGCACAACAATAATTCCTCATTAAAACATTTTTGATCAACTCAACCTGCACCTGGAGAAGCAGCAGACAATTGATGATGGGTTCAAGTTGGTTAGTTCGGGTTAATTCATCTTTTTTTTAGTTAGTTCAAGCTGTCTCTTGACTTTTATGAGTCATTGAGCTTCCTGGCAATAGTGACAGTGCTTTCTATAGATGTGATAAATATTAAATTTGAATGAAAATGTATTGAAGTCCCAAAAATGAACTTACATTTCCTCATCTTGCTCCTGTAAGTTAGAGTTCTCGTTCCACTCTGCCCAGCCTGTGAGCCACAGCAGAGAAATATCAGTTAGTACATGGAGAAAATACATGACACAGCTTTTTGCTACTGATTTTCTGTGCTGATTTCTCAAATCTTATTTTGAATGATTTAATAATAATGCAACATTCTTTTTGTGTAAACATGAATCAGTGGTTTTCTCCTGTTGACTCGCAAAACAAACAGAAACCAAAGTAATGAACAAACTGACCTTTTACTGTGTTCCACCATAGCGTCAATTCATCACTTTCCTGAAAAAAGAGACAATTGTCAACAAAACAAATCACAGATGCACTTTTTTTTGTCGGTCAAAATGTTCACATGTGCCGATGATAGTTTTTCATTGCACAGAATTTGGTATCGGTGGATCTCTATTTGTGGCACCATACATAAATATACACATTAAAGTAAAGTAAAGATTATGCTAAATAAAAGACCAGACCGAGTAAACCAAACCAAAAGGAGAGAAAGACTCTGAAACACACCGGCTCAGTTTCCAGAGGGTGTTCTCCAGTGGGATAAGCTGCCATCTCCACATTCTGCACGTCCACAGTGCTCTCCTATACAAAACAAACACAACAACACTTTCACAGAACTCAGTTTAAAGGGTTTGTCTGTTAACACTCTCTCCAACATCCCCTCTGTTTGTCTGTTAGCATCACACAGACACCTATCTTTTTAATAATATCATCATGCTGACCTGTGCTGGGTTCAGATCCTGCATCTCAACAACTTCCTGAATATCAGCCATCTTGTCTGAACCCTGTGGAGGAAAAACTCTGTCAAATTGAACAACTTGAAAACACATTAATTAAAAAAAAGGTCTGTGCCGAAAATAACTCGGGAACATTCTAATGACCTTATGGACTGATCCACGGAAAATGTGTAAGTTATGCAAAACAGCTTTAAAAAGAATTTAAATGGCCAGAATTTGTTTTATAAATGGAAAACATTTCCAACATGTTTCTTTATTGCACAAAGTTTCAGATCTGTCTTTGGTGAATATTCCATATTTCATACTAGGGCTGCACGTTATTGGAAAAAACTGACATCGCAATTTTTTTTCCCGCCCTGCGATATATATTGCGATATAAAATACAGGAATTAAAGAAAAGACAGTTTTTCTTTGTCCGCAAACCATCCTTTCTTCAACTTTAATGCGATACAATTGGTATTTTTTTTAACTATCTTTAACCGGATGAAGGATTTTAGTCACGGACGTCTGGATCTTAAGTTATCAGAGCAACAAGCTGAGCTAGCTCGGTTAGCCGCGCCAAACTGGAGAAACACATGAAACGAGTTTATTCAGTGTTTTTACCTTTAATCACCGGGTCCGTTTGGAGATTTGATTGTGATTGGTGGTTTGCTGCATGTCACTCACTCAGGTACCCCTGCGGACATGAGAGCCGCGCAAGTTTTCCTTTTGTAGCAAGCAGCAAAATAATTGTAACATGACGTGTTTGAATCAATTTGCCTACTTAATATCGCAAGTCCTAAAAAAATTAATAAAAATAAGTAAATAAATAAAATCGCACGACCTGCGATGTGACTATCGCTCATGCCCGTATCGCGATTATCGACACGATATATCGTGCAGCCCTATTTCATACAGTCTATTGTCATGACTGAGGAATAACTAGAACACATACCTGTAAATTCAACTTTGACATTTTGGGACGAGTTGTCTTGACTCTGAATGAGACAACCTGAGAAACAGAACAAGAAAAGAAAATAAGTTTTGTTAACGAGAAAATGCATTTAAACATCAAAGTTAAGAGCAAGATAAAAGTAATCTCTTCATGATATAAAATCTGAAGAAGAATAGCTGCTAACACTCCTTTCTGTCACAGCTACAGAATGGATGTAACAATAATAATAATAGATTTCCGTTGTTGTTTTGCTGAACAATTGAACAACAACTCACTCTTTTTTTCTTCTTGATGGTTTTCCTGCGCCTCAGCCCGATGCCTCCTGTCGGTGCCTCCAAGTCCTCACTGTCCTGCAAATGAACACACAGATATCCAGACATGTGCATTTAACCAAGTATTGTATTTAAGTACACATTTGAGATCCTTTATAATTAAACTAGAATATAATAAATAAATGTATTTGATGCCTATCAGTGCCTCCGATAACGTCGTACCTGTTGTTCAATGGTTTTGGGCGTCCTCCTGAATATTCCAGCGAACCCTCCTTTTTTCTCCTGTTACAAAAATAAAACATGAATTTGATTAAAAAAAAGTCTTACATATTTAAATACAATCAACCTGTGTAACACACTCTACATCAAGACTCACCTTTGTGGTTTCAATAAGATTATCGTTACTGTTGGACAATTCACCGAGTGCTGAAAGGTCATCCTTTAAAGTAAAAATAAACAACAACAAAAAGTCAATACCGCTCAAACCTTTGTGTGGAAACCATCTCTGAGAAGAAACCAAAGTGGCTCATCATTTGATGTCTGAGTTTGAATTCTTACTCATTGGTTCTATCTCTTGTGGTTATTTCTTTTAGACATTTGAATGTATTTTTCTTATAATTACATTGCTGAAACTTTGAATCCTGCAAAATGTAATAATTTGTTTTGAATGATCTCGTCTGTGTTGTTTTAATCTTGCTCTCGTCCACAGACATTGAGACTCTCACCTCTCCGTATCCTGGCAGGCTGTCGCAGCTGCCGTAAAGATCGCTTGTGTCCTTGAGAGGATCCTGAAAAACAAAAAGAAACATATTGGTTTTAGCTTTCTGGAAGTTATTTACCTCAATCATTTATTTGAAATATTTTACAGTAAGGATTTCACACATTTCTCTGCATGACTGCTGGGGCAAAATAATCACCATTAAAATATTATAGCAATAAACATACTTTAAAATATATATAATTAATACTATACTTCTTTTTTTGTCAAATATATGACGCCCAAAATATGAATATAGGGAAGAGAAGAGAGTCTGTAACGCTGGAGTTTACATGATATGACCATATTTATATTATTGAAATAAATGCTATTTCATTGTTTTAAAATATCACAGTAATTGTGAATACCGGTAAAACAAGACACCTGTTTTTTCACAGACCGCGAAACAACCACAAATGAGGCACATCACTACATAAAAAATAAATAAAACATGTTTGTTAGGTTACCTTCTCAGCAAATAGGCGTGGAGACGGTTTTGGAGACTTCTTGAAGATCCCTGCCAGTCCTCCTGTCTTCTCCTGAAACATAGGAAATACGCTCATGTTAATATTTAAATAATAATTAACAGCAGAACAAAGAAAACAGAAGATGTGTTTTGTACCTTTGCTTTGTTTGCTTCTAAGAGATTTTCACAACTGTCTGATAACTTTGTATCCTCGTTTAATTCCTGAACGCACACAACCAGAAAACAAGTGAATAAAACAAAAAGTCAAATGTTGTGATAAATGTTGATATGTATGTGCAGGTAGAGCCGCTGCTGTACCTCGTCTGTTGTCGTCCCCTCTGATGGTTTAGCAGTCTTTTTAAAAATGCCACTGAAAATATTTTTCTCCTGAAAACAGAAAAACACTGAGTAAGTGAACACTAACATTTCTTAAGCTCAACCTGATTACAAAATAAACGTATTCATCCAAACTAGCTAATAAATATTCTGTTATTTTCTAATTGACATGGGAAACTGCATGTTGTAGCGCATTTCAATAATCCATTTTAAATATTTTATAGTGGGGACATTTCTTTTTTGGTTCACAGTACCTTTGTGTTGTTGTTTTCAAACAGACTGTCATTACTCGCGGACAGCTCCTTCTGGTCGTCCTTGTCCTAGATAGAGAGGAATGGACAGTTTATAATGTTTATTTCTTGTGTCTTCATTTCTTTTATGTACATTGCCTTGTGTTTTTGATGCTGCTCCAACACAAACATTTCCCAAATTTGGATAATTAAATTACCCATCTATCTACCTACCTACCTACCTACCCATCTATCTATCTATCTATCTACTGTACCTACCTACCCATCTATCTATCTATCTATCTATCTACTGTACCTACCCACCCATCTATCTATCTATCTATCTATCTATCTATCTATCTACTCTACCTACCTACCCATCTATCTATCTATCTATCTACCTACCTACCTACCTACCTACCTACCTACCAACCAATCTATTTATCTATCTACCTACCTACCTACCTATCAATCTATCTACCTATCTACTGTACCTACCCATCTATCTACCTATCTATCTACTGTACCTACCTACCTACCTACCTATCTATCAATCTACCTATCTACTGTACCTACCTACCTACCTACCTATCTATCTACTGTACCTACCTACCTACCTACCTACCTACCTACCTACCTACCTACCTATCTATCTATCTACCTACCTACCTATCTATCTACCTACCTACCTATCTATCTATCTATCTATCTAACTACCTACCTACTTACCTATCTACTGTACCTACCCATCTATCTACCTATCTATCTATCAACCTATCTACTGTACCTACCCATCTATCTACCTACCTATCTATCAACCTATCTACTGTACCTACCCATCTATCTACCTATCTATCTATCAACCTATCTACTGTACCTACCCATCTATCTATCTATCTATCTATCTATCTATCTATCTACCTACCTACCTACCTACCTACCTACCTACCTACCTACCTATCTATCAATCTACCTACCTATCTATCTACTGTACCTACCTACCTACCTACCTACCTACCTATCTATCTACCTACCTACTTACCTATCTACTGTACCTACCCATCTATCTACCTATCAACCTATCTACTGTACCTACCCATCTATCTATCTATCTATCTACCTACCTACCTACCTACCTACCTACCTACCTACCTACCTACCTACCTACCTACCTACCTACCTACCTACCTACCTACTTACCTAACAGTGTGTACAGAGGGTGATGCTAACAGAGTAACTCTCACCTCTGCTGTCGCCTCGTCTCCAGACGCTTTGGGGGTTTTCTTAAGAAGACCACCGAACAGCCCGCCTTTCTCCTGACGAGTGAAAACAGGATTGATTAATGTGATTGCCAACCATGTGTCGAAGCATACAGTTTACTTTTTTTTCGACAGTGGAAGAAGTATGGAGGAATTATACTAAAGTAAAAGTAGTAAAAGAATAGAATAGAATATATCTTTATTGTCATCATACAAAGTACAACGACATGTCTTTGGTAACTCTCAGTGAAGTAAAACAGGTTAGGTATACAAGTATTTAGTTACAGGGAATGTTACTGCATTCAAAATCTTATTAAAAGTAAAGCACTGACCTCGTCAAACAGGTTGTCGATGCTCCCTGATCGTTTGAAGATGCCAGCCAGGCCTCCTTTTTTCTCCTAAAACATAGATACAAAAATAAATAAAAGTCAAAAACACATTTGCTCTGGTTTCATTTCATGTTGAATTGTTAGTTTTTTCTGGATGAAGTACCTTTGGGGCGGGGGTGTCCTCCAGATTCTCACAGCTACCAGATAACAGTTTTTCTGTGTTCACCTCCAGCTCCTGAATTCAAACCAGAAAACTGTGAATGAAATATCTATCTTGTCCTTCACAGTAAATGTAATGACTGAATGAATCCAATCACAGTACCTTGTCTGCTGCGGCGCCCTCTGCAGGTTTCTGCGGCTTTTTAAACATGTTGCTAAAAATATTTTTCTCCTAAAACACACAATAGGTTTTCAGTAAACGCGTTTTATTTAATGTATGTAGACATTATTTGAAGCTTCTGTCGCATTACACTGCTCACCTTAGGTGTGTTATTCTCAGACAGGTCATCATTGCTCGCTGACAGCTCTTTCTCAGCCTCTCCTTCCTGAAACACAGACATTGATGTTTTATGAAAACTGTGAATTGTTTAAAGGGTAAAAGAATGTATTTCAAATTCAGTAAACACTCACCAGAGTCTCTGCCTTCTCTCCGGACGCTTTGGGAGGCTTTTTAAGGAGACCGCCGAACAACTTTCCACCTTTCTCCTGATGATCCGTACAAGAATAAATAGAATTTGTTGAAGTCAATAAAGTATTTCCAATAACACATTACATTTAATTTTAGATGACACTTTTATCCAAAGTGACTTACAATAAGTGCATTCGACAAACAAGATACAAACTTGAAGAAAACAGAATCATATAAGTACATCAGGTTTCATAGAGCCAAACATTTCAAGTGCTACTCAACTGGCTTTAGATAAGCCAGTCCTTCATTAGTATATAAGTGCTTTGTTAGTAATTCTTTGTTAGTCATGTTATTGCTCGAAGTGGAGTCGAAAGAGATGAGTTTTTGGGTTAAAATATCGATATTGATGTAGATTTCTAACTCTCTGACCTGTTTGTTCCCAGATAAATTCTCAGTGCTGGCGGAGAGATCGCTGTCGAGCAACTCGTCCTGTAAAGGGTTTTCAAAAAGTCAGCAAAAAAAATCAAGGAATACTAAGTGTTAGTTCATTTGAATTTTTCCTCCTGCATGAAAGGACATTTCATAACTGAATGAATCCACTCACAGTACCTTGTCTGCTGCAGCGCCCTCTGCAGGTTTCTGTGGCTTCTTAAACATGTTGCTGAAAATATTTTTCTCCTAAAACATAACATTGGTCGTCATTGAACGCTCACATGAAGATATTTGATTTACATGTTTTGATTTGATTTGCATTACACTGCTCACCTTAGGTGTGTTATTCTCAGACAGGTCATCATTGCTGGCCGACAGCTCTTTCTCAGCCTCTCCTTCCTGAAACACAGACATTGATGTTTTATGAAAACGATGAATCTTTTCGAGGTTCAAAAATATATTTCACTTTCAGTAAACACTCACCAGAGTCTCAGCCTTCACTCCGGACGCTTTGGGAGTCTTTTTAAGGAGACCGCCGAACAACTTTCCACCTTTCTCCTGATGAAACGTACAAGAATAACAAAAATGTGTTGAAGTAAATAAAGTATTTCCAATAACACGTGCAAATGGGTTGAAATCATTGAACCTTGAATCTTGAATATCAATATTGATGTAGACTTGTAACTCTCTGACCTGTTTGTTCCCAGATAAATTCTCAGTGCTGGCAGAGAGATCGCTGTCGAGCAACTCGTCCTGTAAAGGGTTTTCAAAAAGTCAGCAAACACGAAAAAGAATCGAGGAATACTAAATAAAAGTCAATTAGAATTTTTCCATCCTGCTTGAAAGGCCATTTCATAACTGAATAATCAAATCACAGTACCTTGTCTGCTGCAGCGCCCTCTGCAGGTTTCTGTGGCTTCTTGAACATGTTGCTGAAAATATTTTTCTCCTAAAACATAAGATTGGTCGTCATTGAACGCTCACATGAAGACATTTGATTTACATGTTTTGATTTGATTTGCATTACACTGCTCACCTTAGGTGTGTTATTCTCAGACAGGTCATCATTGCTGGCCGACAGCTCTTTCTCAGCCTCTCCTTCCTGAAACACAGACATTGATGTTTTATGAAAACTGTGAAATAGTTTTGGAGATGCAGAAATATATTTCACATTCAGTAAACACTCACCGGAGACTCTGTCTTTTCTCCGGACGCTTTGGGAGTCTTTTTAAGGAGAACGCCAAACAACTTTCCACCTTTCTCCTGATGATCCGTACAAGAAAAATGTGTTGAAGTTAATTAAGTAAACTCTCATTTAGTTAAACATGTCAATATTGATTTGTAACTCTCCGACCTGTTTGTTCCCAGATAAATTCTCAGTGCTGGCGGAGAGATCGCTGTCAGGAGACTCGTCCTGTACAGGGTTTTCAAAAAGTCAGCAAATTCATAAAATATGGGAATACTAAATAAAAGTTGCCTTAATTATTGTTTTTTACTGATGAATAGGTTGCAAATAATTTCCCATTTTACAAAATATTTCTGTTTGTATTACTTACATTAATAGAAATAAAAATACTTCTGGACAAATATACTCATACTTTTTAACAATAATGGGAAACATTTGCCAGATGTTCATGTAAAAAGAGAAACAAAATCCATCATTCTAAGACAGAAAAATAATAATTTAACAGAAATGTATCATTAGTTCAGTCTTACTCTCAACACATTTTGGTCACCAAACAATATTAAAGTGATCATAAAAGACTTCCAAGCATGCTTCCATAATTCTAAATACAAAATATGAAGTGTTTATTTCATTAAAACATGTAACACATTTCACCTCCTCAGGTTGAGCAGCTTCTGCAGATTTAGGAGTTTTCTTGAATATTCCACTAAATATTCCTCCTTTTTCCTGAAACATACAGTTAAAAAGTGAGTGCTCTCTCCTTAAGTTATTCAGGACTGTTTTTTTAATTAAGCATTCATCTGTTTACCTTAGTGTTGAGAGCTTCACTGCTGCCTGTGAGTTCATCGTCTGTTGATTGTGTTTCCTGAGAAACAAAATCAAACACAACATTAAAAGCTGTTACACTTTCTGACATTTGTCCATTATACTTCTAACAGTGATCTTTTACAGCTAACAGGAACAGCACTATATCAAAAGGGACACCTCCTCTGCAGCAGCACTGTCTTCAAGTGTGGACGACCTCTTGAACAATCCACTGAAACCTCCGCCTTTCACCTGAAACACACATGCATACAAACTTTATATTCAAATGACCTGTTCCACACAGAGAACATATGGATCACTTACAAAAATCATTAAACACAACTCCAATCAGAACCAAAGGACGCGTTTTAGAAACAAATATATAGTACATTTATACAGTAAACAACATACAAATAAACAATAAATTAAATAAAAAGAACAAATTAAATACATTGTTGTCGAGTCATATTCAGTAATACGATAAGATGCACTCTTGGTCGATGTATTTATTATTTGTAGATACTTTTAATTAGTTTGTAAACTCGTACTGTAAATACATCTTAACTGGACTGTCTGTGTTCTTGTGTGATTTCCCCTTTAGCATGTTTTGGTTGTTTGTATTTATGTTGTAACAATGTCTCGAGTCCTCTTCCATTCACCATGTATCAGTATTACAAACAGGTACACCGTAGGGAACATTTCGTTGCCACATTAGATTTGAGCCAAACGAAGGGCTGCAAATAAAGGTCCCTAACATTTTGTATTCATTAAACTAATTTCCTGGAGCCCAGCAGACAGATTTCCCCTGATGCCTGAGACCACTTGTACAAGCGAACTGACCTTAGTGTTGGTCGCTTCAGACAGACTGTCGTTGCTGACCGAAAGATCTTTCTGTGCCGATAGATTCTCCTGAAACAAGAACACTGTCAGAAACAGAGAGCTCAGCGTGTGAGAAAGTGTTAGAAATATTCTAACGTCTGTCGTCGAGTGAGATGAGGAGTTCTCTATTTCTAAATAAAGACAGGACTTTATATCATTGAGCCTGTAATGAAAGTAAAGAGGAGAGGTATATTTTCATACACTTTCAAAGCTAAGCCTTTATCTATAATCACACAGACATTCCTTTGGGTCTCAGGACATGGGCTGGTTTGTGTGCAACGTATAAAAAACAATAAACAAACCAACAGCAAGTGTTGAAGTGAAACCATGTAGTAAGTACAATAAACCAGATTTGTATAAGAATAACACGTTTACTGTCTGTGTCTACTTGAAAGCTGCCTTGACTTTGAGAAGCTGTACCTCTCCGGGTGTTTTGGGGGTCTTTCTGAGGAGTCCACTGAACAAACCTCCTTTCTCCTACAGGGAAGCAGAAAACATGTTAAAGCAAACTCACTTATGTTCCATAAAAGTCCCCTATCATACTGTTTTTCATCAATATATTATAGGTCTCAGATATATACAAAACATGTCTCTGAAGTGTTTGGCTCCAAACACCAAACAGATCATTGCAGCATTACCCATAATCCCCTCTGTTTCAGCCCTGTTTCAAAAGTGCTGATTCTCTGTCTGTTACTTTAGATGAAAATAAGGAGCCCCTCCCCACGCCCCTCTGAGAGAGATTTGGTTACAAAGAACACAATGGTGCTCTAGGAGGAGATTCGGGTGATAAGGTGTGTGTGTGGGTTACCTTGGTTGCTGATTGGCTAATGGTTACACAAGCCAACACATCGTTATGACATCATAAAGTGGCCAAAATCTGATCAGCTCCTTTTCAGACAGGTTTTTATAGAAATGGATCAGGACAAAAAGAGAGAGAATCTTTGTTCCTGAAACTTTCAGAATCTCTTTCCACAGACGGGGACACATGTTGATGTAGAGGACATGACGAGAGGGGACCATGTTGATGTAGAGAGCATGGAAGGAGAAGGGACCATGTTGTGTAGAGAGACATGGAGAGAGGGGCACCATGTTGGATGTGAAGCCATCATGAAGAAGAGGGCATGTTGATGTAGAAGGGCATGAAGAGCGGGGACCGATCGTTAATGTAGAAGAGACATGACAGAAGAGGGGACACATGTTAATGTAGAAGAGACATGAAGAAGAGGGGGACACATGTTGATGAGAACGGGGGGCATGGTTGAGTGAAGAAAGAGGGGAACATGTTGATGTAGAAGGGCGGGGAGGGGGGGTGACATGAAGAAGAAGGCGGAACATGTGATGTAGACAGAGACATGAAGGAAGAGGGACACATGTTGATGTAGAGGACATGAACGAAGAGGA